CCAATTGACAGATGACACCAGTCAAGGACCAGAACCATCCTTTTGAACAAAAACAATAAGCAGAGAGCTGCAAGAAATGAATTTCACCCAAGTTACTGTAAATGTAAGCTCCTAACAGAACGATATGCTTACAGTAATGCAAAGACCATGTAGATTTCACTATTGACATCAATGAAAATGTACTATGTGGTCAGGTGAATCTTGGTAAACGCTATTTTATACAGCGAGGGACTCAAACTTTGGTGAAGGCCCGTGAAGCTTTGGAACCCTAGTGTGTTTTTCCATTGTGCAAGCTGCTGGATAGTTAGTAATTTTTCGTAGTGCATTTTCTTGATATGAACTGTGTTCATTGGCCTTTCTAGACGGACGTATTATACTTAACAAATATATGAACATCCTCATGAATCAAGTTTAACTTAATTTCTATCCTCAAAATTGTAAGACAACAATTCCACCATCACTGTTTGTGATTTGTTTGAAGAGCATGAGGAGGAGATTTATAATATTCTTTAACCACAAAAATATTTATCCTCAGATTTCAACCATATTAAGAACTAGTGGAACGTCCATGAATAACAGATACTTCCTTGCATTGAACTCCGAAAGGATTTTTAAATAATTTTATATCAGGGTTTTCACAATAAATTACTTACAATCAGCAAAAAATAAAGTGACAAAACAATGTAGGTTGTTGTTGTTCGTTATTAACCACAACACTACACAAAGGGCTATCTGGGCTCTGCTCACCACGGGTATCAAAACCCGGTTTCTAGGAGTAGAAGTCCGCAGACATACTGCTGTGCCACTGGGGGTCAAGCAATATAGGGAGTTTTATTGCAATTATATCATTTTCCTTCAAGAAAAACAGACAATGGATACAGAAATATATAGATAAATAGATAAGTATGCGATATTTATAACAATCCAACAGACAATGGATAGAGAAACATGGAGATAAATATATAAGTATGCGATATTTATAACAATCCAACAGACAATGGATAGAGAAACATGGAGATAAATAGATAAGTATGTGATATTTATAACAATCGAACAGACAATGGATAGCGAAACATAGAGATAAATATATAAGTATACGATATTTATAACAATCCAACAGACAATGGATAGAGAAACATGGAGATAAATAGATAAGTATGTGATATCTATAACAATCCAACATTCAAAACAACACACTGGACGTTTTTTTCCACGTTTTCCTCCTTCCATTAATTGAGACGAGTTATTGGCAGCCCCCACAGAGTGGATCACATATACACTGATAAGAATCGTAAGGTTTTAAAGACAAAGCAACTTAAACAATTACTATATTATAATGGGCATCCATCCAACTTTGTGCCTCAAGTTACTTCATTTTTTGATCAAAACAAAGACATTCCAAAAATCATTCCAAGATTCACAGCAGTCTATTAAATTAAGTACCCCTTATTTAAATGACAATCCCCGCACCATACTTCTGAACCCTATAAAAAATGGGGACTATCAGTTTAACTGGTACGTAAGTCATGGTAAATTTTAAAACACATTCTGACCTCAGTGTGCAAAAACTAAC